ATGCCGGACCTCTCACATGGATTCTAGACTTGTTTTGATTTTCATGATCATTTTCTTGATGTGTGGAGGACCATGTTTGCTTGCTTGATATTGAAATTTTGGGAGATTGCTTAGAAATGGTTGAAAAATTGCATACTTGAGGTAGTTTTCTCCCAATGCTTGTTTGCAATATTGGTGCCTCTTTTGAAAGAATGAGCTTAATGTTTGTGGGTACCATTTCTGGAAACCCTCACGAGACTTTACTCGTCCACTAGGGGTAACCTAGGGGTTTAAAAGGCTTGTTGCATATGCTAAATGCAATCGTGCTCCCTACGAAAGTGGCGCTATCATTTTACTTGCTTTCCAGTTTATACTTGTTTAGTTGTTCATTTCATTCCTTTACTTCTTAGTTCATTGCTAGGGACTAGCAATATTTAAGTTTGGGGGTGTGATGAGCACTGAAAAGTGCGCATTTAAAACCGTTAAGCTTAAGCATTCTAGTACCTTTATCTATCTTACTTTGCCGTTTAGACTTATTACGTGTTATTTATATTTTCAGGCACTAATCCCAAAATTGAGCTAACTCAGCCAAATAAGAGCTTAATTGAAACAATTCTGAGATAAACCAAAGGAGGGAGCAAAGTGGAGAAAGCAAGGAGCAAAAAGGAATCAAAGTTGTGCAGCTGAAAAGTTCGATCGATCCAACTTAGAGTTCGATCGATCGAACATCTATGATCGATCACAGTACTTCTCGATAGATCCAACCTTGGCCTTTGCTGAAATTCCAAGTTCGATCGATCCAACATCACCTTCGATCGATCGAACCCTATTTTGTCCTATTCAAATGATTGATCTTATCCACAGCTGTACGCCTACCAACCACTTTTGTCATTTTCCCCATAAATATCTTCGAAATATCTCAGCCTTGTCCTTATCCAGAGGAGTCAGACCACTTCGATCGATCCAAGATGCAGTTCGATCGATCGAACACATCTTCGATCGATCCAAGTTAAGGTTCGATCGATCGAACTTCCTCCAGCGAGAAAAAGTTAAAGTCCAGCTCATTTATTCCGTCCTTCACCCAATCATTAGAGAATATGCCTTGCACGACCACAGCTCATCATAGGGTGTATTTGACCTACCTATATAAGGAATATGATACACTTTTTGGAGGGGAGTCTAGAGTCTCTTGTCACACATTGAAAATCATCTTGGAGGCTATTCTTGGAGAGGAAGAAGGGAGGAAGCTAGAGAAACCATTGGAGGAGATCTTCATCTACAAGGAGCAGCCATGGAGTTAGCCCTTGAGGGTTGGATCATCACTACCATGAGTGGCGAGACATCTTCTTGGGGCTAGAGTTAGCCCCAAGCATGCTTTCTATACTCTAATCTTGTGTATTATTGAGGGATTAGTGTTGTATGATACATCTTGATATTCATGTATATATAAATCTTGATTATTTCATGGTTTGTATGGTTTAATGCTTCCAATTGACTATTCTATGCTACCCATATGTCTATGTATGCTAAAGTAGGATATTCATGTGCTTATTTCTAGATTTAGTGTTTTTGATGCATGTCTATGTGTATTGATGCTATAGATCTAGAGATTATCAAGATGATATGTTTAATGAATGTTATTTTGGTTCATTTTATGGTTTATGCCTATTCTTAATGGTTTGTGCCTCTCCCCTAGTCTAGATAGCTTTATTTTCATGCTAGTAGTGTAGATTTAGTGTAGTGGTAGTATAATGTTAGATGGGAGGACAATCTACTCTTGATGTTTGATGTTCCATGCTTGTGAGTCCAAATGGCATATTCCTCTAATATTGTGTTGCATGTGGATTATGAGCTTAATGAAGGATTAATGACTTGTTTTGATCTATTGTGCTATCCCCATGTTGTCTAGACAATATATGCTCTATTGCTTAGATATATTGTGCTCTTCACATGATGTTTAGACAATACTTACTTGATTTGTCATCCTTGCCAATTAAATCAACCTAATGTACACACACCCTTATCATATTGCAACATATCCATTACCCTCAATTGATCACTTGTTAGTAGTATAGAAAAGTATTGCTTGGTGGTGATCTCTACACCCCAAGACCTCTCTCTCTCTTGTTTACCTCATATTATTTTATTTAGTTGAATTCAATTTAGCTTAATCAACCAACCAACCAATTGTGTGATCACTCGACCTACTAACCCTAATTACCATAGTTCACAATTCGATACACCATCAAATCCCTTGGGACGATCCCTACTCGCCCTATCTATATTTTATATAGAGAAAGGTAGTAGTGGCTTTTTATAAATGTAAAACTTGGACACCTCCTAAACACACACAACTCTCAAGCTTTGTTGGTTGTGGCGACTCCATCAAGGAAACCAACACCATTCACCAATATTTAATTTGAGGCAAAAAATAATTTACAAAAATAATTTTTCTATTTCCTAATAAATGCCCTCAAATTAATTAGCAATCTAATCCAATTTATCTTCATAATTTAATTAATATAAATCAAGCCATTTAGTTAAAAATCATGGATCCAATGCATGAACAATTATAATAAGCATTAAATTATTCCATGCATCAAATAATAGACAGAAGCAATATAAATGGCCAATGGATTCAGCTTTTAACATTTAAAAACTATTCTTGCTGTACGGGCGTCCTTCAACTGTCTATAAACACCCATAGGAAGCTTGTACGCGTCAGGAGAAGCAAAACGCCGCTTGGAACAAGCCCGGAGGACCCCACACGCGCTAGCACGCACCTAGGGCTGGCTGCAAGACTCGGCACGCGCTCCCACGCGCCGGCAGGAGCTTGGGGCGCGCCCTTACGCGCTCCCACGCACCTGGGGCGCGTGGAACGCGCCTCCACGCGCCTTCACGCGCGTGGAGGGTAACACCTCCTTGGCTGGCGCGTGAGATCCACGCGCCAGCTTGTCCTTTATTTGCCACTTCCTGGCGCGTGAGGAACATGCGCCAGGCTCACCTTACCTGCATCACATGTGATTCCAGCCTTCTTCGACGCCTTTTCTCGCCGCCGGCGATGCTCCGGCCACCGGAAAAACGCCGAAAAATTCCAGAAAAATTAGAAAAATTCCCAGCAAATTAAATTAAGCCTCAAAAAATTGCAGAAAAATTCCAAAAAATTCAGAAAAATTTCAGAAAATTACTGAAGCATAATTTAACCATTTCGGACCCTCTTGAAGCTTCATAGCATCCTTTGATGAATATTACATGGCTTTAATAAATACTTATAATTTGAAATACAATGGAAAAAATTAAATTACATCATTAAATTTTCAAACGGTTAAAATAAAGCCTTAATTACATTCATCCAAAATAAAATTACATTCTATATACCTATAAGCTTCATCCATGGCCCAAACACACATCATCATCCATTCACAATTATACATACATCATCATGTATTAATATATATCAACATAATAAATCATACATCAACATATATCAATAATTTTATATATGTATATATAATTTGGATCCATGAATATGATTTCTATAAACACATGTTCTCTAATAATGAATTAAACTATGTGCTCTGATACCACTGTTGGGAAACGTGTAAGTTTTTAAAACTTTTTGAGGGATTTGCAATCATAGATCTTGATTCATCACATAGAGACAAGTTTTATGCAAAGATAAATAAAAGATGATGCATAATTCAATAAACAGATTGAATACTTACATCAAAGATCTGAGTAGACTTTTTGAACTTTCTTCTAAAGTGAATGTTCTCACTTATTGTAGATCCCTTTAGCAAGATCCTTTCTCCTTCTTTTTGATCATTATCTTCCCTTTAGGAATCACCAATATGCCTTGATGAATGACCTTGGAATCTAGGCTGGTGGTAGCTTCCTTTAGAAGAGAAAACAAAACCCTAAAATTTAGAGAGAGAAAGTGTATTCCTTTTTCTTGTTCTCAAAGTCACACCTAAAATATACATGAACTCATGTATATATAGGCAAAATAAAAATAAGAATAAGGAAATAATAAATCATTCTCCATCTCTAATTCAACTTTCTCAATTCTAACATGACTCCAATATCAACTTGGGCTATTGGTGAGAATCCTTTTGGGCTTACTATTTTCTTGGCTCCTATAAATTAATAATTGGTCTGGTCCATTAAACCATGGACCCAATTCAATTAATTCATAAATTAATTTCTACTCCACTAAAAGAAATTAATTGCACTCCAATTAAATAGTAAAAAAAACCTCTAAGTCAATGTTGCACTTTGACCCCTCTATGCTTAATTATTTATCGGATAATTAAAGCCATCAATCCGACAACATAATTAATATAATTATTTTGTTACCTTTGATTATTTCCGGCTCGATCACAATAAAATATTTATTTGACAAAAAATAATAATAATTTATTAAATAAATATATATAGAAAACATTTGTTTAAAACATACGAAGGCCTTCGAATTTAATTTGTGATCAACCATAATTAAAACAAAATAAATACAAATAGCACTGATGCAAATATTGAGAATATAGACCTCTAATTATTACTTACATAACTACCCAAAGTGTCGATCTAAGGATCCCGAGGTATCCGCCGAACAAATCAAAGTAATTATTAATTAATAAAAGAGTCTATACTTCTCTCATGCTTGAGAGTCAAAAGTCATGACTGTGATAGAGAGCAATTGCATACGACAGCTCTCGCAATATATCTCAATCTATCGTGGACTCGGTTTAAGTCTTAACTAATTAAATGTCCATCCATAATTACCGACTTTAAACCATTTATGATTACTAATTTATATCATAGTATTGATTGTCATTACATACATATATAAATATATTTTGTAATCAAGCGGACACAATCAATTCCATAAAAAATCGAAAAATAATATATTCCATTCACCAATTGTATAATGCTTTAATAATAATATCCAGATGAGAAACCATGACTTTTACAATCCAAAATTAGAATTTGCTGTGCTAGGGCACACATATCCTAACAAGTACCTATAAAACTATTGTTACCAAGAATTAACTCTTGCAGTTCAGTCAAGGCACCTAACCATGACGGAAGCTGTCCACTAAATTTGTTAAAACTCAAATTCATGAATTTCAATCGACGCAGATGAACTAATTCATTAGGCAAATGACCACTGAACGAGTTGTTACTGAGGTTGAGAGAAGCAAGAAATGAGAGGTTACCCAGGTTTGGAGGAACCGTACCTTCAAGAGCCATGTCAGAAAGGTCCAATGATATCACTCGTCGGTGGCGAACACCACAAGTGACTCCAACCCAGTTACAAACGAATGTTGATGTGGACCAGTTGTTAGCCAAGACACCATGAGGGTCAAAAGTGATATGGGCTTTCAATTCAAGAAGAGAAGATTAGTCACTGGTAATGTTGGGTACACTCCTAGCTAAACAAGCCACAACACAATGCACTAACAACACTGCATGCAAAAGAGAAAACCAAGTAATTTTCTCCATGAGTGTGTGTGAATAATTTGGAATACGTACCAACTCAGTTTGCAAGATATATAAAAAATGAAAATCTATATGTATAACGGTATATATAAATTTCCTAAATATCTTCTTATTGTTGTGATGAGTACAGAAATGAATGTGAAGTTTATGTTAAATTCTATATGATGTTTCTAGAATGATCAAGCAGCCGGCCCTTGAAAACAATTTTTTTTTTGGTAAACAAGGACTTGGCAGCCTTGAGTAATGGCAGGCCGGTTTTTAGGAGAAAATATAGGACACGAAACAAAGACTACCAATTCATATATATTCAGTCAATTCATGCTGACAAATACTGAAACACCACTAGGCACTAGACTAGACAAAGATTGGAAGACCAAAACCATCCTTCTGATTCTAAAATGTATATGAATCCAACACTTCATGTAGCATTCTTCCTTGTCTCCATAAAAAAATGATCTTGTATATACTGACCAGGTCATGATCCAAGAGTATACATTAAATAAAAGAAAAAATACATCTAAAAAAAATTTATAATTAGTTGTGATGAACTTCACCCACAGAACCATGAAAAATTCGCGGCAACATACTTATACGGAAGTGAGTTTTATAGTTTTACCTTTCATCAGGAAATTGACTAGAACCGATAGGATGGAAACCCAAATCTGGTATAAAAATAAAAATAGAAAAAGTACTAAAAATTTTCCATAGAAGATTGACGTACTACCAATTCAAGTCTGGTATATTCTAGGGCTGCAACTTGGGCGGGCTAACCCTGCCCAACCCAAAATTTTTGAAATTAAGGCTTATATTCACAAATCGGGTTCATGTTCGGATTGGGTTTTGTCAAAATCCAGACAAATTCGGATTGGGCTCAGGCTCAACCCGAACCCAACCCAAAACCTAAAATAAAAAAAATAGAAATAAATTTTTTTTTTTTCTCCTTTCTCTCTCCTCTCTCTTCTTTCTCTCTCTGCCGCCGTCCATGCACTTCTCCGCAATCCTAAAACGAACGTGTGTGTGTGTGTGTTAATGAATCATTGTGTTCATGTGTAGTGCATTCAGAAGTTTTTAATGTCTATTATGTATTTCAAATACAATGTGCAAAATTTTCGGCCAAAAAATTTGCCAAAATTTTTAGTACGGTAAAAAATGTTTGTGCCACACTCCTGTACTGATAATACTATTGTAAAAGGAAAAACATTCACTACACTAATATAAAACTTTTATTGGACTAATAATATTGTAAAATGTCAAACTTAAAAATAGTTCAAAGTGTAGATGATATATATACTTTGTTTTTAAAAAAAAATTAGTTATCTCTTTGGTAAACTTGAGAAATTTTACGCGGGTGCATTCTTATACTGATTTGTTAAAATGAAGTAGAAAATTTTATTTTAATATTGTAAAATGTAAACGGTTCACTACACTAATGAATTCAATACACTAATATAAATTGTTTATTATGACTAACAGGCCAGTAACCTAGCGGTACCAAGTCTCTACTTTTCAAAGAGAGGTCAGGGGTTTGAGCCTCAATGGAGGCATGTGTGTGTGAGTACCCAACTAGGAAAAAAAAAATTTGTTTATAATGCTAATGTAAAATGATGAGAGATTTAACTGTTCGTTCGACTGATTAGGTTAATCTATATTTATTGATTGGCATCTCTTCAAATCCATAAAAACTAAAAATATATAAAACACACACCCACATCTTAGAAAACCAAGTGATGAAAAAAAAAAAAAATCATTGGAAGAGGTGGTCCAAGGGAAAGAAAGAATAAGAGATTGGTAAAGTACGAGAGAGATGAGATGGAAAGGGCAATTGGTAAGTCTCAAAAGGTGTTTAGAGGTATTTTTATGTATCTATGAATAGTGAAAATTGACATTTTGATAATTATTTTTGCTTAAGTTGCTTTTATTAAATAATTTTTGAATATTTATATTATGATAATTATAGCTTCCTATGGTTTTTAAAATTAAATTAACCCTAGTAAATTTTTGACTCATTTAACATAATGACAAAGAATTAGTAGTAATCTTCCATTGATGGTACATAGCAAGTAACAACAATAATATCATAATTTAGTTTAAAAAACCAGTAACAACAACAATAGCAAACAATGAGAGCAAACAATTAAGTAACAAGTAACAACAACAATAGCAAACAAAGTACATACCAAGTAACAACAACAATAGCAAAAAAATGAGAGCAAAAAATGAGAGCAAACAAATACATACCAACTAACAACAACAATAGCAAAAAATGAGAGCAAACAATTAAGTAACAAGTAACAACAACAATAGCAAAAAAATGAGAGCAAACAATTAAGGATGAAAAGATAAATAAAAAATTGTTTAGGGAGCTTGCCAAGGAGATGATGTGGCGCAAATGTCCTGGATGCAGGTTCTCTCTCTCTCTCTCTCTCTCCCTCTCTATACATTATATACTTTTTTTTTTTGTTTTTTCTGGCAACCGAAGATAGTATTAACAAACTGAACAAGTATGTCATGAAAAACACCCACAAACAAAAGTGAAAATCATTGAAGCTCTCCAAGATAACTTCCTAATCAATGCTAGCTGAACAAGACTTGGAGCCTTCACACCGGATGAAGGGCAATATTCAGAGTAATCTTTAAAGAACCTGACAGAGTAGGAGATCATCCCATCATCCAAACAAACACACACATGCATATCAGCATCCACATTTGAGATATCTTGGTCTGCAAAGGTAACAAGTAGCACCGAAAGAACCTGGATATATCACATAATCCGTATAAACATGACTACTGGAAAGCTTAATAATAGCATTAACCACCTCGTAGCCCTGCCTACAATCAGATTGAAACCAATACGAGGGGAGTACCCAAGGGTGGCTCGAGCCTTAGATGTAGCCCTGCCTACAATCAGATTGAAACCAATACGAGGGGAGTACCCAAGGGCGGCTCGAGCCTTAGATGAGTTAGGCGACCGCCTAAGGCCACAGTCAATAAAAAGACCTCAAAATATTATAATTGCTTTGTATATGATATATTGTAATTATTTTCTTATTAAACACTAATTCTAAAAAAATTATCACCTAAAATAACTCTTCTTTTTTGGCCTTTTTATTAAATTTTAACCAAGAGAGAAATTATTTAACTCCTAAAATATCTTTTTTTTTTTATTTATCTCCTAAAATATCTCATTAATATTGTATTTCTTTGTCTATCTTATACACATTTAACTCCTAAAATATCTCATTTTTTTTTATTTATCTCCTAAAATATCTCATTAATATTTTATTTCTTTGTCTATCTTATACACGTTTTTTTTCGGTAAGTTGCACTACAATAAATATTTAGCCATTATATGGGGAAAGAAGAAACTTTCCATATTCTCTTTTTCTAGATTTTTATTTTATTTATTTATTTATTCATTTTTTCTTATTCCTAATCATCTGATTTATCTTCTCTCTCAGCAAACTCAACAAATTACTTATGAGTTACAAGTCATGACCTCTCTTCTCAGTCCTCTCTCTTTACAACTTTATAATTTTCTTTTTTCTCGACTCAATATTCATTAGTCTCAAATCTCAATTTAAGAATTTGCAGCAGCATTGAATTGGGCTTTCTAAATCAGGTTATATTGTTCTTTTTCTTTAATTATTTTTTATTTTTATTAACTTTTGTTATAAAAAAATTGTATATATCTATATTTTTCATATATTTGTATATTTGTTTGTGAGTTGTGAGTCTTGTGATTATTTTTACCCATATTTTTTAATATGTCTGTTAGAAAGTATGAATTAGAATTTGAAAAACTTAAAAAAAAATAATAAAATAAAAAAATAATAATAATAATTTATATAAACTAATTCAATCTCAAAAGGGAGCTATTGAAAAATTTGTTACAACTAATAATTAAAACCTAACCAAAAATTTAGGTGAAAGTTCAGCACATGAACAATCAAATCATCTAAAAGAATTAGAATATTATACAATAGTGAAAGAAAAAAATATTGGTGACTTGATTCACAGTAATAATCAAGAACAACAAAAACGAATTGGAAGAAAGTGAAACAAGTAATTAAAAATCATATTCTAAGACTATTCCCACAAATATATATGATCCTGGAAAAAATATTTACTAGTAGAAAATGGTCCAATTAGATTTAACCACACTTAAATATAAGAATTTAATTAGTAAGTTTGCATCTCAAAAAGTAAGAAGGATGATTTTTAATTAATTATTATTTAATAATTAATATATTGCATATTATGATATGAAAAAGCCACTTTTTATTTTTCGCCTAAAGCCCGAGTTACATCGAGCCGCCCCGCCCCTGGGAGTACCTAGAATACCATATGGAAATTAAACCAAAAAGAAAGGAACTTCGGCTGGAAATTGTATAGGATATCAACCAGGGGCAGAGCCAAGAAGGGCCTAAAAAAAAATTCAAGCAGAGGATTTACTGGGAAAAAAAAAAAATAAAAAAATAAAAAATAAAAAATAAAAAATAAAAAATTCAAACAAAGAAGATGATAATGATAACAACAACAATATCGATGAACATTTAAATAATGGTAAATTGAGGCAACATATGAGAAATCCCTAATTACAACTAATTTCAGTTAATGACTCAAGTTTGATGTAAAGCACCAGTATCAATACGGTGTCCGAGTCTGCACTGGTGAATTTGAATTAAGTACAAAAGACATGTATCAATAAATCAAATGTCCGCTAAGAGCAAACTCGGACACCGTATTCAAAT